TACTATAACATTATTTGGTAAAATCAAGGAGATACAAATAATTAAAACCAAACTTTCCCAAATTATGAGATTATATTAAGATCACTGTAATGTGCAATTTGAAAGTCAAAACATTTTTGAATTTCTTCAGGATGGTTTCTTCAAAAAGAAGAAGAATAAGCACGATGCCAAGCAGAAAAACATTTTCTCAAAATTCCTGCATTACAGGTTTACACCAAATTGCTTTACAATTAATCTTTACACACAATGATCTACTTTCATTTGAAAGTGCCCTCTAATATTGTTTTTTATTTTGCTATTTGCTGGTACTCAGTGTTCAGGAAGAGGACAACTCAGCTTACAGTCTGACAGAAGATCCTGCAGCAGCCACAGCATCAGCATCAAGCTATCCAACCCAGGAACAAGACTTTGATAGGAAGACTCCTGAACTTGCATTAGACTCAAATTACATTCAAGATGTATCAGAACAAAGTAGTAGATTACAACCACTTGTTAGCAAGCAGCAACCATCTGATAAAAGTTTRAAGAAATCCCAGCAGGATGAAGCATTAAAAAAAGGCACAATTGGACATGTTGCCTCTCCTATGTCATTCTCRGATGAGATTTTTAATAACAGCTCACCTGGAAATGAAACATCAGAAGATGATACTTTGCCAGAGGTAAAACAGTTGTGACTTTTAAACTTTAATCCTAAAATGTAGCAATYGATTATGCACTTGATCCAGACATCTATAACCAAGCATATAGAGAACATTAGCSTAGTTTTCAGATGGAGCTGGCAAAGTGTCAATGTTGTACCCAGGCCCATATGAAAATCAGGGTAAACATTTTTATATCCATCTCACTGCTAATGTTCTCATTCAGCCTTTTATTCATTTGTCTCCCATCCATTCCTACAGTCATACACCATTTTCTTTTGTTTTGTTTGTTCAAAATTTATTTTTTCGTCCATTCTTTTCTTTATGAACTATCTAACCTATTCTCATAGATCAAACTACTTGTTCATCCACGCATGCATTCCAGATCCAGGATTTTCATCAATATTATTAACAGTCATTTACTTGTGCATATAGTAGTCATGTATCTGTAAATTTCTTTTCAGCCTCAACAAATGTCATCATTTCAAAGGAATGTCCTTTGGAAGTTTGAAGACCTTCACATGTTGGTAGGCACAAATGTCCCCATCTTTGGTGGTGGCAAGTATCCTGCAGTCAGTTTGAGATTAAGGTAAAACAGCTTTCCTCCCTGTTTTTCTCCATCAGAAATGTACTCATTTGCATTAGTAMTCACTAACTGCCAATGCAAGATAGGAGAAAATCACTATTCAATGAATTTGAGCCAGTCAGAAATTATCATGTTCTTTATYGTAGAATGTAAAATTTTCATGAATTTAAATATAGCTTATCTATTGCATGTTWATAGGGACTGTGGAAAACCCATAAATGTCTTAACTGGATTGGATTACTGGCTTGACAACCTGATGTGCAATGTGCCTGAGGTTGCTATGTGCTACCATCTTGATGGAATAGTACAGGTAATTATCATATAATAGATTATTTTAATATTTTTCTTTTTTCTTTTGTTTCACCAACTTCTTTCTCTCTYCTCTCGTTTTATTTTGCATTATTTCAAATTTGGCTTACCCATCTTTCTCGTCTGGACACATGTAAAGTCTTCACTGTCCTCTACATTCCTGTCTACACTCTGACTCCTGATGCAAGTCATATTGAATAATTTCTTTCTTCCCTTGTCCCTTCTATTTTTTCATTCATMCATTTATTTCTTTAGAACTCATTTGTATTTATCCTCCTCACAACTTGTCATAGTARCTTACAAATCATAATGATGACTGTCAATTATTTTATATATTTTKTAGTACTATGACTTGTTTAAGACTGAGGATTTGCCACAGCTTGAAGGAAGTAGTTTCTCACCAAAGGTCTGTAGTATCAACACATTTTCAATGTTCTGGATGAAATAATATCGAATAATATCAGTTATATCATTGGTGTAACATTACAAACTATTCAAATTGAAGAAATAAATACGAATAACGCAATTTCTGAATTAGTCAATTATCCGACTGGCACAGATCAAAGTAAAAAAATACGTAGATAGGGCAGTTGGAAACTTTACAAGGCAGCATGGTTGGTGTTCAACTGCGCTTACATAGCTGTCACGATYACCAAACAAAAAGCCACTGACAGACCATCAATGACATCACGTTGATAAATAATTGGTTACAGACGGAGATTGAAATGCAGATCTCCAAACGCAACAGCGATGACTCGGTAATTTCTCTGTTAATATCATCTTTGTCAATTGGGTTTTTCGTTTTTTCAGGTTGTGAAAGATATTGCGCAGAATGTGCTTTCATTCATGAAATCCAACTGTACTCAAGAAGGACACACTTACTGGCTATTCAAAGGTACATTCAGCAGTGAACCTCGATCTTTATTTATAACGTTTTAACCAAGGGTGGATCCAGCAATTTTGAAAGGGGGGAGGGGGGGTGGGGGGGCTTCGACAAAAATGTTTGAAAATTTTCACGGGAATTTGCTTCCTCAAATCGAAAGTGCAAATGATAATTCTAAAATACTTAGGATACTACGCGCGCTGTGATTGGTCGAAAACCATGTTTGATTACAGTATCAAAACACGCTCGCGCGCGTCAAAAATTTATTTTATTCTTTTAATTTTAGAAAAGAAATAAAAGACGGAATTCCGCTACGCGTCGTGGTTTCCTACGCTTCTCTCGTGCTCTCCCTACATCCCGCGTGTTTTGATCAGAGTATCAAACACGGAATTTCGTCTTTTATTCCTTAAATAAAAAATTGTTTTGAGGGTTATTTCATTGTTCGATGTTTCTTGGTGCCTTTTTTAGTTTATTTTATTTTTGTTCAGAAAATGGGTGGACCACGGCCCCTTCGCCCCTTAACCCCCTAAATCCGCCCCTGTTACCTAGTTCAATCCATCCAATTAGCTTATATTTATTATGCTGAAATAGTCATAACTGATAATGATTGCATGCATCTGATTTCCAGCAACTGACAGTGAGGTGGTGAAGCTCTATGATTTGACATCAATTTGTGACCAGGTAATGCATTTGTCAATAAGTGAAGCTACGTACTGATAACAAGAATTGCTTAATTTATTAAGAAAAAMAGCGTTACTTTCGTAGCGTGATATTTTGTCTCAGTTCGTTGTTTACCATGACCTTACTACAAGCCCACCATAGTGGATGTGAGGATTTGTTGTTCATCACGATTGGTGCATTTTCACCTAGATGCGTGGGTATGTTCAAAAATATAAAAACGGCTCTCTGAAATCAAGCTATTTTTGAGCAATATTCTGATCGGCATAGTCTGGCTTAAATTTCTGACGGAATATCTGATCACATCACACCTGCTCTATTTTTGACTGCGCCCGAACACTATCGGTGTGATGTCATTGTCACAACGAATATCCAGTTTCAATGCAATATTCACTAGCAAATTCAAACAGATGTACAATTACTTCTGTAATACATTTATTTGATGTGATTTGTTTGTTGCTTCATTTAATTCGTAGCCTATGTGGTTTGCAGTGCATTGTGGGATCAGTTTCTGGATGTTTTGTCCCAATCACATCCTACAATGCATTGCGTATACGGTATATGAAAGCTTCATCTATTCGACAGTGGAGAAAGGAAGTGTAGCTATGGAGAATATATATAGTACGAATCGTGATAAGAATTTCCCTTTCATTATAACAGAAAACAGAGGAGAAGTACCAGAATCCTTTCACCATCCCTGTTGCGATGTTATTTTACAGGTATTTTCTTAATAATAATATGGAAAATATTTCAATCACTTTTTCTTATACGTCACAAGGACAGTTTTTGAAGTGGCCATTTTATTACTTACAGTCTTACAGTTTACCATTAGGTATTTTTTTTCCATTATATCTACATGTATTAACCTTAGTTTCTAATTGGAGGTTTGATTACAACCTTTATATCCCTTTTCCATGCATTGGCTCGTATTGCCCTCATTTTAGTCACTCCATCCTTATGTTCGTCGCCTTCAATCGTTCATAATCTGTCTATGATCCTTACAACCAATCTTTTTTTATTTACACACTAATGATCTGCATGTTTTCGCCCATGAATTCTCTCACCTATTCTGCAATTCAGCCACTCTTCCATTCTGTCATATCGACTCATTTATAAATTAAAGAGAAAGTTCGAAAAAGCATGAATCTATGCAGTAACACTTTGAGTACTCGTGTTGCAGGGTAGCAAAAAATATGATGAAACAAGAAGTATTGGATACTGGGTAAGCTAAGCCGGCTGCACAGTTTTAGAATGAACGGGGACTTATGCAGATAGGACCATTTCCAGAATGCTTTACTAATAGATATGACATGGCTTTAGCAGCGCCTGTTTCTATTAGTTAAATAGTGAAAATACTACTAATACCAGGACAAACACAAGGCTTATTACACAAACAACYCTGCTAAAATGAGGCTTCCTTTTCAATATACTACACAGCGGCCATCATGGATGAACTTCAACAAAGGATTTCTCAATAGTATCTATTGTTCAWTCATCCAACATGGCCGCCGGTCTCTTGTTTTTCGAATCTYTTAGGAATGATTGAAAACAATCAATTAGTTTGGAATTTGGCAMRCATAACAAAAGCGATCTCAAAATATACAAGAAAAATCACTAAATGAAGTGATGTTTAAATTCCAAATTACTCTTCTATTGTGTTTTCATTATTGTATGAAAAGTAAAGGGTTCTTATGTTTGAATCAACAGAGATCAATCAATTGTCAAACTGCTACTTGATAACTGCGTGCTTCTTTTAGATGACCAGAAATTCCCAGAGGTAATGCCAGTGTTTTACTTGAAATGTTATTCATATAGTATAGCTTGCAACCACCGTGGCAAATCCAAACGTTTTTTGCTACATGGCATCAGAATCCAAATTTGGCACCACGGGTCAGAGTCAGCGTACGTCAAGAACTCGGTATATTCAAAGTTCATGTGCTAAACCTAATGCAGACGTGCAGATGAATTCATGTCAAGTCATGCTGTATAAAACTGTCAACGTAAGAGCTGAATGACATCTTACTTTTCTTTCAGATTGTAACGTCTGCTAACCTTTTGTTATCCAGTCTTTATTCGCCCGATAACATCCACACTCTTCCATCTGSTGTTAGTGATTCTAAGGATWGCACACAAGAAGACTTAAGTGCAGACGATAAGGCTGAAATACCTATAGATGCCATGGCTTCTAAAGGGGTATTAAGATGGCGTCTTTAGCTGACCTTAATTATTGGACTGTATTACTTTTGTTTTTCCCTAATAGCGCTTTTCGTACTCCGGCTTGCATGTCTTCGTCTTCATGTGTTGTTTTTGTTTTCCAGTTCTTCCACGAGCTCCTGTTTTTTTTTTTTTCGTATTCGTCTGCCTCCTCTGAGACCTTTCTCTGCTCCTTTGCTCCTTTTTCTTCTTTGTTATCGTATTATTCATTCTCATCTTTTATTGCTTCCAATTTTTCCTTTCTTTCCTTTCTTTCCCTGTTTCTTCGTTGTCCTTTCCTACGTGTCTTCTGCCCAACTGGCGTACAGCTATTTTTGTTTATCCTTCAAGCCAAGCGCTTTTCAACCTTTCTTTTTTTTTCAATCATTCAGCTTTTCGTGTCACGTTGTTTATCTACCTCTGTTGTTTTCCTTGCCTTGTTTTGCTACTTGATTCTGTTTCATCCCAAATTCAATCATACATTTGCACTGCTTCTTCTTTTGAATAATAGCATGTATTATTTGCTAGACTTTAGAAGTAAGAGAGCTTTCCACACCAGGGATGTATCAGGACGACATAAGACAGGTACAATCTCAAACTAGTATTACCATACAGGAAAAAAATAATAACTAATAACTAATAAATATATTAAACTGCTGGAAGGACTTCCGTTAACAAATAGCTTTTCCAGGGCGAACACTAAATGTCGGTTTGACTACAGTACAGTACAGAATAGTACATTATAGTACATTCGCCCCCGTCAGGCTGTTCACAACCCCTATCGGGCTGTTCACAAGGCAAGAATAGTCGACTTTTGATATTCAAGCTCATTGATCATACACAAAACATCATGTAAACATTGAAGACGAGGATCGTGGGAATTAAAAGAATACATTGAAATTAACCGTTGTTGGAGTCTCGTCTGCACGGCAATTCTTTGATACATCGTTAGTCGACTGAMCAAAATATCTTATACGGCTATTACATAGAATATCGTACGAAATATCGTTCCGCTTTTCGCTATAATTATCGCACTGGACACAGCAATGTTACGTTTTCAAAAGTCTGAAACAAATCTTGAACATGTAGTTTTCTTTTACTTAAGGTCGCSAAGATGATCACTAACAATACTGAAGAACGATGCAAGAAGGCTCTTTCACACATAGTCGAGGTAAAAGAATTTTCAATTGATGCTTACCGAAATTGTGAAGCTCAAGACATGTTCAACGAACTCTAAAGATGGAATATTTACTGTAGTCGTTGAATCCCTATATTCTTTAGGGACTTCGATGCCTAAGCCTAGGCTTGTCCACTGACCAAGAAGCAGAAGAAATGGATGATACCAAAAATGACGGCAGCAAAGGTTCATACTCGGTTCGTCGTATTACCGCATTAARCCCCAGCTCCACACCTGGACATGGCTCAGATGAAGGTGATAAAAACCCGTTAATACTGGTCAAACCGGTTCAGTGGAGAGCCCAGTCTAAAATGCTCCTTCTTCGTAAGGCTACGTCAGTATATCATTCAATGGCTTGTTTTTCCAACACGAAAGGAAAGTATGGCCGAGGGTTGAGATATTGCAAGCTTTCTTTCCAATGCCTCCAAGCATATCGAGCGTTTGACATTCAAAAGCACGAGGAAGATTTTGAGTTGATTCGTTCTATTAACTGTGCATGCGCAGATTCATATCTGATGCTTGCAAAATGTGAGAATTTGGAGGTTCATCATGACGATTTCTCCCATGGCTCAACTGATGACAGTTTCATAGCTCAAGCAGCGAGCGAGACTGGTGACGAGACGTACAGTGCTAAGGTGGAATTTAAGTTTAACTCTAAAGACAATCTTATAACAAGGTATTTATAAACATTATAAAATAACTATAAGTTTTATCACTTAAAGCTGTGATAAAAGGATAAGCACGATTGATAGCAAAATCGTCTTGCTCATTGAGGCAGTGTATGKTGCTGCTACAACCAGCTAACAACTGCTCGGAAATGTTGTTTTAACATGGATTATTTTAATTTTTTTAAGCGCTGATTTGTATGTGGTAGCACTAGATCTGGCAGGGAAAGGGACTAAAGAAGATGAATTTATCAGCCTTGCCCGCCGTGTTGGGAATGTCAAAAATGAGCTGGGAGTGTATTTCATGAACCAAGCAGTGTCCATGGCTGAGCATGGCGTTAAACTCTCCAAACAAAGAGACTTCTGGAAGAAAAGCTTCGCTTTCTTTGAAAGTGGTATTAAAGCTTTTGAGTCCATTGATGACAGGTAGRTAACAGGCGTCCAGGGTGGGACGCAGTCAAGACAATATACTATGTAGGCAATGAGCAGCAAGGCCTTTTTGGGAGTACAAGTGCGGTTGGAGATGAATTCCTCCGACGTTTTGGTGTCCACTAAGAGAATCGTTTTCTTTGCAGAAAAGGCACAAATACTTKCCAAAAAGCGGAGTTAAAAGCAGAATTTCTGGACTATTTTTAGACTGCATTTTCTCAACGTGCTTTGTTGTAGAATATGGCGATTGAATGTTGTGAGCATTTTAATGGACGTGAAATGTTATTGGTATGAAGTTTGTTTGTTTGCGGACCTTGCTTTCCCCCGACAAAGAGTGAAAGCAGAATAACCGTGAAAAGGTTATTACCTAATGATGCAAAATGGTGAAGAAAAGAAAACAAAAGTGATTCGCATAACATAGTACAAAATAGTATGACTAATATGTCACTGATATACAGTAAAAACCCGCGTATAAGAATACCTATATGTATTTTGGCGGTTCAGGCTGATTTGGTTCTTATATAAATCTGCAAAATCAGCCTGTAAGTGTTCTTAAGTGTTCTTAAAAAAMGTTYCTTAAAATAAGGAACATACTAAGGCTACCAACAGATGAAATCAATATAACAGTACATATTTTGTTTTGTTTAATATTTTGTTACATATAATTGGGGTGGAACTATTATGTGTGCAATGAAAAGTAGTGTTGATCTTTGATATTTTTSCATATAAGAACAATTTTCATTTTCAGSCTGAATGTGTTCTTATATAAAAGGTACTTTATTTCCTAAAATCAGGCCTGGGTGTTCTTAATCCACTTGTTCTTATACGCGGGTTTTTACTGTATTTTTTCTACAATTATTATAGTAGTGTTTTATAAATTTGAATAAAACTCAGCAGGTAGCTACTTGTCTATGGGCATGCGTATCTKYCTGTAGGCTTAAAAGGGAAAGGAAGAAATCCTTGTTGATCATTTTTGTTCATTTGTTCTAGAGCCAACATGGCGCTTTTATATTCCAACTCTGGACGGCTAATGAGGTTGTGTGCACAAGCTGTTGGGGGAAGAGTGGGAGCAGGTAAAACTTCTATGAAGGAGTTTTCGTCGGAAGAAAAAGCATTTTTCAAACAGGTAACAAAGTAAGAATTAAAATGATAGTAATTCTTTGGATATCTTTCTTATTATGAATATTCCACAGTCAATCGACTTTTACAATCGCGCACTTCAAAGCTTGGCCGAGAGAAAAGTCTGTGCGGAGGTCTGGGATACAGTCACGTGGGAACTATCTGGTGCATATTTTACTATGGCAACGTTACTTCAGGATTTTCCGCCTCTGTCCATGCTTTCRCAGCAAGAGGTATCGATAACTCCTTTACTTCCTAAGCCCAGTCACGAATCAAGTTAAAGTTTGAATTTATAAAATTGAATTTAGCAAACGGAAACTTAAAAAAATATATATGATATATTAAAATAATTTTTTGGATTTACATAAATATGCTAAAACATCATTGAAATAAGTCATTGGTTGATGATTATTTGCAMTGGTTATAGGTTCTTTGAGAAAATGTTTATTTTTTCGGTATTCACCTGTATTCGTATTTCGTTAAAATGTATTTTCACCAATTAAGGGTATACTATAYTACCGATCCTTTTGCTGTTACATTATTGTGCAAATGCCACATTACGTTTGTACACGTGGTCTTTWGCTCACTAAAACGTTCTTATTCTAATGTAAATCAGGTGGAAAAAGAGGTTACAGAGTTGATGATGAAAGCACTTAAGATATGTGAGCCCACAGGCAAGGGATCACAGGCAACTGTTCGGCCCCATTCTTCTCTTGATTTGGAAAARAGGATTGGATCTATTCATCATAGATTGGCTTCCTTGTATCATAATGCGTATCGAAATGAGGTTTGTGGTCGACGCTTATTCATATTTTCATTAACAGTTTGTTTGTCGTTCAGTGGAATTACTATGCCGTTTATTATCTGGAAGCTTCAAAATTAGCCGATTTTCAATCCTTTTTAGATATCAGACAATGCCAGGAAGAAAACTCGTTCTCTAGCTGATCTGCACTACACCAAAGCATGTTTAAATTACAAGCCAGACATCTTTCCCTGTGAGTGGATCAGAATTCATCTTGAACGCGTCGCTATGTGTGAACATCAACTTGCTTTGCAMGGYAGTGSTTCAAATGCATCATTTAAGGCTTTGGATTTTTCTCTTGAGCTGATATTAAAATGTAGAGAAGCCTTGGTTACTCTTAGTAACATCGAACAAGAATTAGAACGAAAAGATAGCGAAAACGTGAAAGAAATGAACATTGGAGGGATAAGTATCACTGGGAAAGACAATAAAGAAACAGGTAATGTCCAAGAAAAGCAATCTCCAATTGAAGGTTGCCATGAAGCTCAAGGATGCAAAACTACTGAAGAGCATGCCCGTCAGACTTCCCAAGATACTGATGAAGGTGACGGAAAACGCTCGAACATTACAGAAGCAGTAACGTACAATTCAACATTTGTAAGCGAACTGAAAGTTCTAATACCAATTTTACAAGCTAGACTTAACTTCGTACTYAAAGAAATGGTTAAACTCCGTAGCTCGAAGAAGAGTGTAAAAAATAAAGGAATCGGTCTCCCTGACCTAGAAAAAGCAAAACAGATGTATTCAGTAGCATTGAAAGGCTGTGCTGCTAACACTTCATCAAACAACTTCACACAAGCAAAACAACTTGCGGATGTCCTTGCGAACATTAGTTCTATCAAGGAAGACAATACACTTTCTTGAAAGCAATATTTATAGTGCWTATATGTTTCATTTCAAACTACAGTTTAGGCTGTTGTAAAAATTCGTCTTTTGGGCTTCCAGAGCCAAACATTACAAGCCCTTGCTAAAGACCACACGTCAATGTGTATATTGATAGAAATTTCATACTCAATGTTAAGATTATTCGAAAAATATCGAGGATGTGAAAAGATTAATTGCCTCCAACTCTGTTAGGCTAATGTCAGTGGCTGTCAGTGTTTCGACGTTTGCATCATTAAAGCAAGAATATGAAATTTGAATGATACCGCCATTTTGAATTATGTAATTTACAAGGTCTTGACGTTTAATTGAAACCAAAATTGCTGAACCCATATGTGTACTTTTATATTTATTTCACATTGATAAAGTTTGGGATATATGTGTAAGAAGTGGTGCTTATTCTTTGTAATTATGATCATAATAGCCCATCAATCTAATAATTGACATTTATACTACGTTACTGTATATGTTGCTAAGGTAAATTGACCTAACCATAACAGTAACATACAAGGTTTTTTTGGTTTTTGTTTTGTTTGTTTGTTTGTTTTTTGTTTGTTTGTTTTTTTGTTTTTGTTTTTTGTTTTGTTATAGTGCAGTGCATTTCTTATATCCACACACACCATATCCTTGAAATTGCATAAAATATTACTATCCTTAAAAGATTGTTATTAAACTTTCCTTTATATTATCACCCATGCGATTTATTCTTTTTTTAATAATTGAATGGTGAAGTATTTCCTCATACGACTTTCTGTCTTCAGGTTACATAATAATTCACGTCAATATGTCTCTATAGTGTGCACGTGCTCAATAGAGTACAAACATTAAATGTGTGCAATACCTTCMACTATTTACTACAAAATAGTGTTAAACAAKAGAAAACAATAGAATTAGCGTAATTTAGCAGTATTTAGTGGTATTTATGTTGCACAGTTTTAGTGTTTGTACTCTTACTACTACTTTATTTATGACTTATAACAGATCTCTGAAGCTTTTACGTCATATACCGTATACGCAATGGATTATATGATATGTTTGGTATAGCGACACCACTCAATGTGACGTAGGCCTTTGTTTTTCTTGTGCCAACCAGAAGACGATTGCATGGCTGTTATAACAAAGCGACTTGTGAAAAGCCATTCTTATAATGGTTGGCATATTAACATATAATAAGAATATGYTTGTTGATAAACATTGAGTATSGCTATAGAACAAACCGGATTTCTTTTGATTTCTCCGGAAGCTGATGCCACAATYCATTGGAAATCAAGTAGGTGACCAAGCTTCAGAAGTCTATTTGTCCTACTGTTATAACTGCATCYTGGAGTATCATTGAATAGTGCAATCGCTGTCTGGCCATATCGCGACCGAATGGATGTTTAATCGGTTTACGGTTTTGCCTGCTAGATGTTCTAATGTTTAGTTATATACTGATAGTAACGTCATCACCAATAAGGAAGAAAGCAGCCCAGTATCTTGGCTCTTTGTATTTCTCTGTTTCTCTCATSTCTTTCATGGCATSTTGTAGACTTTTACTGGCACTCTCTCCTTTCTTTAGATAGGTATAGAATTTCAACATAAAGAGCTTTGTGGCTTGGTCATCAATGGCCCACAATGACGCCACAACGGCACGAGCTCCTGCAGCAAGAAATGCTCTAGTCATTCCGATGACTCCCTCTGATCTGATTTCTCCTCGTCCACTATGGCAGCAACTCAGTACAACGAGTTGAGCACGAATTCCACTTTCTTGTGCTTCCTTCATAGTCAAGATGTATTCCTTTTCCTCTGGGATACTGTTTGTTGTTGAAGGTTTAGAAGGAGCAAGAAAAATCTGGCCATTTTTCTCACTTCCATGTGCAGCAAAGTGGATGACGGACACACCAACTTGTAGTTTTCTTAAAATTACTTCTTTTGTTGCGTGTTTTCCAATTAATGGCGGTACTCCAAGGAGCTTGCCGATCTCTACAGCTTCATCCTCTGCACCGGGTAAAGGGGTTATTGTTATTTCTTTGCCTCTATATTTCACCTTTTTAGTTGCTGGGTTGCCAATGATTAGTGCTCCTGACTGAAAAAGAAATGATTTTGAATCAATATAACGATAACCRCAACACTGTTRTCARATAAAATGCAAGATCATTAATCATAAATGCTYCTGACTGAAAAAGAAATGATTTTGAATCAATATAACGATAACCRCAACACTGTTRTCARATAAAATGCAAGATCATTAATCATAAATGCTCCTGACTGAAAAAGAAATGATTTTGAATCAATATAACGATAACCRCAACACTGTTATCAGATAAAATGCAAGATCATTAATCATAAATGCTCCTGACTGAAAAAGAAATGATTTTGAATCAATATATCGATAACCACAACACTGCTGTCAGATAAAATGCAAGATCATTAATCATAAATCTAATACACCACATCAACTGCCTTTTTCACTAAATTTCTCCTTCAAATTTAATCGAGCACAGACACGAGAAGTCATCCGAATAATCAGTATAGTACTTAAAACTGTTATTATGGATTCATGGATTCATGGATTCTCGAGCACGACGACGCCGGACTGTCCCTATAATTTTGCGAGCCAAAGGTAAGAAAACAGTGCAAATTACTTGCAGTTCGACAACGGGAAATATTGCATGTTGCTCAGCAAAGGTGAGCTGCTCTTTCGTGTTTGTCTTAAAACT